ATGTAAAACCGTGTAAAAGTACACAAAATAAATCCACTAATTTCATCTAAATCTATCCAAAATTTACTTTAAATTAAATCAATAAAGACGTCATCAAAGTTTTCAATAAAATTTACCAGCAAAATGTCCATTTTGACATATATTTAATGTCAAAAATGACAGATTAAAAACAATAAACCCTAATGTCAAATTTATGTAACTAGGTGTTAAATATATGTGTGCAATGAGAAAAACGTTTTAATTTAAATTGTAACTTTTTGAATGTAAAACCGTGTAAAAGTACACAAAATCATCTAAATCTATCCAAAATTTACTTTAAATTAAATCAATAATGACATCATCAAAGTTTTCAATAAAATTTACCAGCAAAATGTCCATTTCGACATATATTTAATGTCAAAAATGACAGATTAAAAACAATAAACCCTAATGTCAAATTTATTTAACTATTTGACAGGTGTCAAATATAGTATTATATGTGTGAAATGAGAAAAACGTGTTAATCTAAATTGTAACTTTTTTAATGTAAAACCGTGTAAAAGTACACAAAATAAATCCACTAATATCATCTAAATCTATCCAAAATTTACTTTAAATTAATCAATAATCAAACATCATCAAAGTTTTCAATAAAATTTACCAGCAAAATGTCCATTTTGACACATTTTAAATGTCAAAAATGACAGATTGACCCTAATGTCAAATTTATGTAACTATTTGACAGGTGTCAAATATGCGTGCACTGAGAAGAACGTGTTAATCTAAACTGTAACTTTTTGAATGTAAAACCGTGTAAAAGCAAAAACGTGCGAATAAAGTACCGTGTAAAACGAGGGATAGATGAATATTAAACTTCACAATTGACAGAAATTGTCATTTAACAGCGACATTAACAATTAACTGTTTTATACTTCATGTTAAGAACTTTTGTTGTTACAGCAAAAACTTGGCCGATTTCCATCGCGAATTTCGTTATTTACAACGTGCAAAATCTCTGTTAAACACCTGAGTTACATGCGGTGAACGCATTGTTCCATTTCATTTGTATAAAGTAACAATTAATCACTGTAACTCTATTTCACTCTCTTTATCCTCATTCCTATATTCGTTAATCCGTTCCTAATCTTCTCTTCTGATCCGTTATTAAAATCTCGAACTTGCCGAATCCAATTCAATTTGTTATTTTCAAGGGGGCAAAGATTATCTAACAATTGGATTCGACGTGTTGTACGCTTCACGTGTAATTGTGATTTATACCGAAGCTTCGCCCATTCATGTAAAACTGACTGACGTTGAATGATCGAGTTTTCTCCAATTGATACATCATAAATACGTTCGTATTTAAACACAAATATTACACTTACTTTTTACTATGTATCTTAAATAAATTTACTTTGTTTAAGACATGAATTATGTATTTAAATAATTGAAGGATAATACTTTAACAAAGATGAAAATTATTCAACTAAATTGATTCAATTATTGAAGAAAGCTCATGTTGTTATATTCTAATTTTATTATTTTTTTTGAGAACTGTTAGTTTGGGAATTTGAAGTGCTCGAGAAAATATAGATCAAATGGGGGGATTAGGTGCGCATATTTATTAGGACTTTCACAATTCGTTTCCAAATGGGGATTTAAGAGAACCGAAAGGAATCTCTCTTCCGCGCCGTGGTCGAATATAAAGCTACAATTTGAATATGAAGAAGAAAAAAAATGTACAAGTAGAAGCGAGAGAGAAGAAGAAAGGAAAAGAACTGGATAGGACGTGATAAGAAAGGTTGACGACCACACCAGTCCCATTTAAACCCATTTACTCCTCCGGCGGCCCGAGATAATCTTGCCAGTTAATCTACACGAAATCTAAGATGAATATAAAAAAAAGAAGTACCATAATCGAATCCGAGCAAACCCTTAAGAAAATATGTTACCAATTCCAAATCTCAATTGTCACAATTATCTGACAATGCCAATTGTTGAAGTGTTTCCCTTCCAATTTATTATCAATCTTATCTGAAGTCTCAAATATTGTGTGAATTTCTATCCTTAATCCTACAGTCTTATTAAATCTAAAACAAAATCCATTTGTCACCCATCCAAGTAGCTAAAAAATGTTTAACTTTTGTTAAATTTTAACATCAATTCCTGTAGTTCATAAGGAGAGTATTATTAATTATAGTTTCATTATTTCAGTAAATTTCAATTTATCACCCATCCAAGTAGTAAAAAAATGCTTAACTTTCATAAAATTTGATAGATCAATTCGTAGTTGTAATAGTTTGTCACTTATCCAAGTAGCTAAAAATTGTTTAACTTTTGTTAAATTTTAACATCAATTCCAGTTGTTCATAAGGAAAGTATTATTAATTATAGTTACATTATTTCAGTAAATCTCAATTTATCACCCATCCAAGTAGTAAAAAAAATGCTTAACTTTCATAAAATTTGATAGATCAATTCGTAGTTGTCGTAGTTTTTTCAATTTGTCACCTATACAAGTAGCTAAAAATTGTTTAACTTTTGTTAAATTTTAACATCAATTCGAGTTGTTCATAAGGAAAGTATTATTTATTATAGTTACATTATTTTAGTAAATCTCAATTTCTCAATTTATCACCCATCCAAGTTGTAAAAAAATGCTTAACTTTCATAAAATTTGATAGATCAATTCGTAGTTGTAGTTTTTCAATTTGTCACTTATCCAAGTAGCTAAAAATTGCTTAACTTTCGTGAATTTTGAAATATCTCTTCAAGCATTTTATACATTAAAAATAATGTATTCCTTTCTTGAAACTTAACAAGTAATTGTATAATTTATCACCCATTCAACCAACAAACATATTGCTTAACTTTTATAAAATTTCAAAGATTAATACGAACAGTTTGTATTTATAGCATTATAAATTTTCAATTTGTCACCCATTCAAATAACAAGCATATTGCTTAACTTTTGTAATTTTTTTATCAATACATTAATTAGAGTGATTTATAAATAATAATTAACGTATTACTTGATATAAAGTGTGAGAATAATTAATGAATGCGAGATTTTTCATTATTTAGTTTCAATAATAAATTTCGTTGTGGAATTACATTTGCAATTTTAAATATGGATTGAAAACTGCGCCCCAACGTGATTTATAGATGCAAAAAAAACATGAATATGTGACTGGACGGTCTTGAAATTAATTGGTAAATAAATTATGCTTGCACATTTTGCCAATTCTAGTTGTATTTTTTTTGTTTGTTTTGTGGACTAATTGATGATTTGAGTCGTGTCGCCTTCCACCATTTTGCCTCGTCTAATTGTTACCTATTTATGGTGAGCATCGAGCGCCGAGTAAGGTCGTAATTGCAGTTCTCCATTGTAAACCAGAAGCTATCAATCACTCAACTGTGGCCTCAGAAAGAAAGAAGTGGGATAGAGCGAGAGATAGACACTCGCCCCCCTTGATGTATAAATAAATAGGAGAGAAACAATATGAGAAGAGAGGATAGAAAAAAAAAATGAGGAACGGTAGAAGCAGGGTGTCCGACGGTGATTTATAACGATTTAATATTTATTTTGATGGGTGAAATTTGGCGTTACTAACACACGGGAGGGTGCAGCCAGCTGCTGAATTATATTTAATACCGAATAAAGGGAAGGGCGAGAAAAAAAAGAGAGAGAAAGAAGGGAGAAAAAGTGTGAGGGTAAAGAAAGGAAGTGTGTGCTAGTGTCGGGACGTGAA